CTATACTATACTATACTATACTATACTATACTGTACTATACTATACTATACTATACTATACTATACTATAATATAATATACTATACTATACTATACATACTATACTATACTATACTATACTATACTATACTATACTACACTATACTATACATACTATACTCTACCATATTATACTTAAATATGCTATAATATATATACTTTACTATACTATACTATACTATACATACTATACTCTACCATATTATACTTAAATAGGCTATAATATATATACTTTACTATTCTATACTATATATACTATGCTATACTATTTACTCAGTATTCAAGTCAACTATATCATAGTCCTATCAGCTCCTGGAATTCTGTATCACTCAAATTCCGTACCTCATTTGACTAATAAACAACAAGCTTAGGTAAATGTATGCCGATTGTATAAAGTTATAATCAGGGGCAAATGTTTTCCCAAATTTCATGAATTCTCTTTCCTCTGGATAACCGATGTTACCCATTCCTATGCCAGTGAACTACAGGCCGTGTTTAAGGATAGTTGTGTAAGCTGGGTAGGAGACTTCTGGTATGCCTTGAAAGAGGCATATTAGCATGTTTATTAAATTACTATGCAACTATGCATGTGGATTTGAGCAAAGAATCCCTGTGCACGTCGTTCTTTGACTGTAATCAACCCAAGCTCAGCCGTCGTCTCTCTTTATGCGTCAAAATATTCCTCTAGAATCAGAAAACTTTTTTTAGAGAAACTTAACAAAGCCCATTTCAAGAAAGTTAACCGACTACAGCCTTTCCTTGCATTAGGGCATGGTTCAGTTCTCCTGGAGATAGGTGTCATGCTTTGAAGACATCTTTCACGGAAGAACAGATTAATCGAGATCGTGGGGAAGGTGAAACAACGGTAACCTTCTTCAAATCCGCAGTTACAACTCCTTCGTTTGGTAGAAAAGTGTTGGCAGTTAAAAGTAGAAGGCAAGAGTCTAATTAAGCTATGCGTACTCTTGAATTGTCCATTTTTACTCCTGGCCACCAGAGTTTAATTTTAGCTCCAAGTTAAATAGCATTACGTCATAGCAATGCTTTGGTTTAACACTCATTCTATATTTTGCACAATATAAATATAAATATAAATATTGCTCTCCCGCATAATGAAGTGAAATTGATGCTACTCGTACTTGGGCTAGTTTATTTTACCCATTTAAGGTACTCTTGGAAATGCAAAGCGATTTAGGTCTCCTGTTGCCTATTGCCTGTCATTGCGCAATAGGTCACATATTTACTATGTTCAAGAATGTATCAAGTCCACGGTCTTGGAATTATGATAACTACTTTGACAGAAGACTGCGGACAAGGTGAGCCCAACAAAGTATAAATGAGAACAGGTCCAAGTTGCGAAAACGATATCAACCCATTTATGTATTGCGAAAGGAGATTGCGACCATACCGGGGACCCCACCATCTTGGTCTTTATATCTTTGATTTGGCCCTGCTTTTATACCATTCTGGGGTGATAAATCAATTTGCTCTTCTGCCAATGTGGCGTCCCCGACAAGTGTAGCAACGAGACTTTTGACAATATGCTATTTAAATGATCATGAATGATTAAGTCTTTCTGAAAATGATTTGATTTCCTCAAATTACTATATAATATGTAAAAATGGGTAATAAGCTCGTAGATATGATAACCAAAATGATGGAGAATTAGGCTAGATTGCAGCCTTTTACAGCTGAATATAGTTGGTTTGATCCATTTTTTCCAAAGTGGTCTGAGTTACAAGGTGACCTTTTAGAATACAACCAATGTAATCTTATCTTCTTCCAGTACTGAGACATTGACATGTTACATTGCAATAGGTTTAGCGAGCGTAGTAGCCAATTAAGAAGTAATGAATGAGTTGATGTGATTTGAAGTTTCATTTCAAAGGAAAGCTCACTTGGAGGTTAAGACTAATTGTGCAGCAAAACCCTCCGAATCCTTGTAACAGCCAACGTTAGATTGAGAAAATATATGTTAGGAAGAAGCCCAACAATAGTCCGGACTAAGAGCAAAGGTAAGAAGCTAGCTGACATTTAATACCAAATTTCTTGCAATGTATTTTCGGCGTCCTATGATTTGGTTTGGTCACTTCATGAATTCTTTACATGC